GCCATTAGGTGTTGGAAAGAATAAGATCTCGTAATGCCAGTACAACACAATCAATTTCACAATAAAAGTGATGGGAATGAAAGCACCCCTGCAGGATTACTTGTGTTTTGTCCCGAAAAGTAAGGATATAATAAAATGAAGAAACATGAAGGTTCAGCTGTAACACATTTCCGGTTTCTGGTTGCCATGCTGAAGCAACACAAGGGCTGAGACATTACCAGGATGCCCAAACCTACACAAGGGCAATCGAAATGCCGTGGCTGGTATCAAACCGAAGACCTTCCGACCAATAAGTTTGTGCCCTGACCAGAGAGCTAACTTGAGCTAGAAAGGTGAGAATAAGATAACCGCATTAGAAACCATGAGGCGCTTGAAGTATACCGACAAACATTTGAAGTAGACATATTTTTACGATGGAACACACCACTTTCGGATAGCCAACGACCAGTTTCCCAATTTGGGCTCCGCGATTTTTGTAACCCCATGTTCTACTTAGATGCTAAACTGACGGAGGCCTAATTGGCAAAACACACTGAGTTGCAAATTTTTGGTGTTAACGCGCGACCCGAATGAATCATAGCTCACTTTTATGGTAACCCTCGATCGAACCTGCTTCACACAGTTTCAGTCGGTACGGTCTTCGAGACATAGCAGCATATATTCCTTGTGGAGCACAATACTCATACGGTCCCTGACAGCTCAGGACTGGTTTGGCTCACCTTGTCACTAACCAACAGGTGGATGTATTTCACCAGCTTCGGGGAGTGGATAGCTTCAAGAGCAAGGCAGTTCATGAGCTACCAAAGGTTTTTCAGAAACCTTTCTTCAAGAAGTTATACTGCCATATCTCACCTATCTTGCTAACTGAAATGTGTGACGGCTTTTGTGCAGCCCATTTAGTTGAAGGATATCATTAACGACAGTTTCAGATGCGGTTCATTTGGCCCACTGTTTTCAACTTGAACTTCTCCCTAATTGGGACCATTCGCTTTAAAATAAAACAGTGACACCAGAGAACCAATGCTGTTTTGCGACCAGAGTGACATCTCAATACAAAAGGTTAACCTGCTCACATGGTCAAAGGTTTTCACCGATCAACTCACCGTCCACGCTCACCTACCACATTTGCGCTCATAGCGAAATGAATCAATTTTCTTCTTTGCTTCATCCAGTGCAGTTAAATTGCTCCGGGAATTTAATCACCCGAGAAGTGTTAAAAGTAACAAATTATTCTTAGAGGGGCTTTTAGTCTCCAAACCAATAGGACCTGAATTTCATTCTGCCCATAAAGTAGGTTAGCCGCAGCTTTAAACTCATCGGGCAAAGAACTGGTATTTCGACTTTGTATTACTGCAACGTAATACAACCACGCCTAGTTTGAAAGTATTACTTATAAAACGGATCATAACTAGTCATATTTGCTATACGCGCAAATATGTTAAGTAGACATCTGGCGCCGCAGTACATTGTTGAATTGTTGACCAGAACTGTCAACCTATGTTGCCATATCTTCATGATGGGTTTGAACCCTTACGAAACATGTAATGAACCACTGTCCAGAGGCTTTATAAACACCAAGTACTTCAGAAGGAAACCTGAAAGGGTCAACAGCGACACTTGAGCGCCTTAGTAGTCAAATTTCCCGCTTAATTTCCCATTAGAATTGTCCATCAACGGCGTGTTTGTTTGTGCACACATATCCAGCAGATTTGAAGCTGGTCCATCGGAAGTTTCAGCCTCAATTTGAACCTGTCACCAGAGAGTCGCCTTTGTAGACAATTGATAGGTATTCCGAGAAATACACTCATTTGCAACTCAATTTGGTTTTCAGGAGAGACTCAAGTGAACCTTTCGTTTGTGATATTCTACAACTGAATGTGCCGCACACAGGCCGCCTCATGTTTGAGTCGGCACGACATTGGAGATATCGCAGTATATTTTCATAAAGAAAACTACTCAAAGGTGGCTGAATGTAATCCATGAGTATCTTAGGGTACCGGGCCATTACATCTGTTTTTTCCACAAATTTCTTTCTTTCTTCGAGAAATACACTCATTTGCAAATCAATTTGGTTTTCACAGTAGACGCAAAGGAATCTCTTGTTTATGGTGTTCAAGTGGATCATAAGGTTGACGGAAACTCGGGTAATGCGCCTACCTGATGAATCCCAAGAAAAGCGATACCGGTCGTGGGTTGCCTAAGCGTTTTCAGCAACCTTGTGAGTAGTTTCCTTTATGATAGATATTCCCTTGATGAGCGAATTCATATATGCAGATGAGTGAGTATACTATAGGCGATTTGAAGTGCGTCAGTTATATCCATTTAATGGCCGATGTCCGCCAGACCAATGGCACGGACACTGGTCCTTCTTTGATTACTGCTTTCTGTAACCCAAAGCCTGACATTCACAGGCGGATGGCAATCCGCCATGTCAATCCACGGCACTCGTACGTGTCCGTCTGGACAGTTGCTATCTTGGGGTAGATACTTTTTGTATACGGAATATCGGGTACTAGCCCATAGTCGTCTCATTTCTGAGGCATTGTGCAACTAATTATATTGGATAAGAGAGGTATGCCACTCCGGAGAGAAAGACAATCACTTCTAAAATTTCACCTGTTTAGTAATTATATATGTATAAGATAATAGATTTGAAGGGGAATGAATAAAATTGTTCAAGAACCTTTGATTTAGACGAATAGCCGAGTAATGCAACAATGTGAAACTGCAACCTGACCATATCCATGGGACATGCTTAGGCGTTGCTACTAGTGCCTTTTATTAAAAATATATTATTTACAATAACCGTAAACATAAATACTTATCCACTTTTTTCTTTTGGGTAGCCGAGTTTCCATTGATCAGGTCAACAGCACCGGTCGAAAATAGAATTTTTCCCGTATACTTTTAAATTACCATTTTACTTTGATCATATGTCTGGATTTAATAATTCATCAAACTTGCGCCGAAAAGTCGCGAGGACAGCGCAGCTGCTTTATCTAATTGGGGATCACTGGCCGCGCCCATGCTGTAAATCTCAAAAGAGAGCTTTACTCCACACGGGCTTCCCGATGACTGTCGAAAATTCTCTCCTGTGGGTTACAGATAGCTGTCAGGCGGCCGGCTAATTAAATTTGGCCCGGGACATAAATGTATGGGCAGACAGGGCAACTCGTTAGAGACTATATGATAAAATTCACGGCAAAATAACTCCTGGGATCACTTGGGGTGTGGGTATGGCCAGTAAAATCACGAATAGTCAGTTGCATTAAAAATGTTCACACTAGTTACGGAAGATGAAACATCCCAGGAGTACATTAGTGCAACATATGTGTTCATATTTTATCAGGGCTAGTAAAGTGAAACACCTCATGAAGAATACGGTTACACACATAAATGCGGGAATGTGTGAATAGACCACGTCAGCAATTACGTACCTGCATAATATTGTGAACAACTCGTGCAAATCATATGACTTTGTAAACAACCATGTTTATATAAGTTTTGCACATGCGCACAAGACAGGACTAGACGTATCCGTCAGATTCATATGCGCTATCAGTTTGCAACAAAACCGTTCGGTCCTAGGATTTTCCCTGCATTCTATATTGTGTACAATGCTCTCACAAGGAGTGGCGATTACAGATAGAACGTTTGTAGCCTACTCTGGAGGATAAACAATTTCAAAAACTGTTCTGTAACAGAATACTCGGCAACTGTCAGTAGAGTTCGCCTCCCACTTCAAATTTTTTTTCAATTAATTGCGAACAAGGCCTTCCATTGTTAATTCATGCAAAGCTGCTCGAATTAATCAGTGGCCTGAAAGGTGTTTGTCCGTTGGAATGGCTTGTTTCCTCCGATATTTCTACCAACCCTGAACCCTCAGTAATGTGAAACCCATAACAATTACGCAGAAAATCGATTGTCTTGTACGATAATCCGATAGTCACATCCCACTAATTATTACTTATCGGCATCCAGCTCAGCCACAAACAGTTCCAAGGTTATATTCCCGAAATATTGCAACACAAACTCACCTTATTCTTCTTGAATTTTTCATAAGCAAGCCTTAGCCTCACGATAACCGAAAAAGACTGAAATCTGCAATGACTAATGATTTTACCACTGGTTTAAGCATCCGATCATCGGTGGTGACAGGAGTGAGCTGTCCGCCACAAAAAAACATCGAGAGCCCTAGCTTTGACGCTGCTCACGACATGGAATTTCTTCATGGCTAATCAGTCTGTGCGGACTGGGATGAACTGATCAGCCTGCTACGGTGAAAAGCGAAACACACTTGATTCCTGCTTGACACAGCGGCCCTGTTGCAACCAAATGCTAACTTGCATAGTTCTTCTAACTCATGTACGGTTAGGTGACATGACGGGTTATGCATACTGCTATATATCTGATTTCCTACAGGGGAAAATGTCGGTAGCTTAGGTAGCGTAGATGGTCGTTGGCTTGTTCGCTGAGCTGGACAGTTCGATTGCAAACGTTTCATCACCAATCGAGGTAACATAATCATCAATAACGCACTGATGATGTCACTGTCGATGTCGATAGGTGATAAAACGTTTGCAATTAAATTGCCCAGTTCAGCGAACAAGCCGACGACCGTGTATCTGATTCTATTAGGGAATGTCGCAGAGGCTATAGGGTTTGATCATAAGAATTTATGGACCAGACTTTTATATGCCAAACAGTTATAATCAATTTGGCTCTTGACACCCGTTTGGTAAACAAGATCCGAGGCAAAATCTTGATTCATCGATAGCTCCGTAATTGATTGTAATCCCAAATGGTGTATCTGTTCCAAAACGTTCTTGTAATTTGCTCGGCGTTTTGTAAGTATCGTTTTCACTTAAATTCTGGAATTCTTTCCAGTCAACGAACTACCGAGAGACTGATGTCATTCAATCGATGTCATTTCGATTTATCTTGTAACCAGGCTCAACTTGTTTTATCCTATCACTCTTTCTTTATTTTCAAACTTTTAGGGGACCCTTGTTGGCCACTGAACACGAACAAACCACAATAATCGTTACGCCTGATTGATGTCATAAAATCGTTATGCATGTCATCTGCCTTTCTTTGCATCGAGTACAGAGCGCTTGTCTCTAGTTTTTGGGGTCACAGAAACAATCGGTCAGCTTGTTAGGCTTTTACCTGATTCAGTCAACGAATAGAGACAGATGACCCATTGACATTAACACAGCAGAGATCAAAATGTCAATGGTAACACAATCTCTGGGATGAAAGATGATCCCCCTGAATTTGCAGCAGCTCTTCTTAGAGAGAATATCAGTTATTGCATATATACCATTTGCAGTAATGAAAGCTACTGTTCAATGTAGCGACATCTTAAAGTAACCAAACTAGAAGAGGAAAAATAATCACCACCGTTTGCACCGTTTACGATAAAACTGGGATAATTTTTTGCTTTCTCAAAAGGACGATTTGCAGCTGTCGGGATCCTCAGAATGTACTGGACATGGTTGAACCATTCACAAATCAGTATCACATACATTTGTGGTAATCTGTGTAACAGCGCAAGTACTCCGGTAGTAATATACAAGACAGTTTAACAATCGACGAAAGTCTGACCACGTCCACGGAAGTTCACTTACGTGGTTATAGCGTGGGTCACCATGCTCAAGGATATGCAAGGAGATAGAAAACTTTGGAATGGTGAAATTCATAACGCGAATTTTTTCGTCTCTTGAATTCAGAAAACCAAAGGACCAAAAGCCCGGTAAAACGACTTAAATGTAGGTAATGGTGCATCCACCATCCACGTTCAGGTGAAAAAAAGTCTAAAACTATTCAGCAAAACTTTTATAGGTATTTTATTTCAATGTGGACCAAAGCGGCAAAACTGTGAAAGACGCCTGATTCAGAAGTTCTTTTTGAGAGTGGTTTTTGTGTGAATTTATCCGGGGACACAACGAGGACTTGAACAACAGCCAAATGGGTAAAAAAATACTCCCAGTTATTGACAGGTGTATTTTGTATTATTAGGTCGTGAATTTGAATCCCACTCAGCGCTATCCATTGTTGTTGTGTCCAGTAGCTCGCGGCGGAACACTACAAACAGAATACTAGAAATTGCAAACTGAAATGAAACGGTCTTAACATGATACATTTACACAAATAATCGATTTTTTGCGATAAATAAGGGAGTTTACAATGAAGTTATCCCACCCACTCTCCATTCCACTTCACTGGCTACGCTTAAGTTTTTGGAACACATGATGTAGCGGACAAGACTCACTTGATACGAGCCTTCACCTGGCTAATACATCGAAGTCTATAAGACAGACACGGAGTCAGTGCAATGCATGGATTTTTCTTTATTTCCTGGTCCGGGCAATTTGCTTGAAAACGTCTCATTACTAGTCATCGGCGCATCGTTTTGTAGCGATACGCAAAATGTTGCCTAGCTAGGCGAACAAAGTAGACAACATCCATGCTACATGGAGTACCAACATTTCTCTCAATCGAGAAATGATGCAATACAAACTATACGAAGGGATTCTTACCTTAAACGTCCAATGTATCAAATCACTCAACTCATCCGTGGAAACGGAACAACACTTTGGACTGACTGTGGATCGGTTTGAGGTTCTTTCTAGTGCAAAGTTCAGAAATGTGTAAGCGAACTGCGATTATCTCAGCTGTAAACAGTGCAAAAGACGGGGTTTGTATCGCGAAAGCAAAAACCGTGGTACGGCTTGTACGCCAGTTTATATAACAAGCTGAAATTTCCAGAGAAGATAACTCTGGAAAGTTCTGAAGTTTGGCTTAGTTAATGCACTGTCTATTATACCCAGATGACAGGTAGTCAAACAAAAATCAACCATCACCGGGGCGTTCGTGGGCCGAACAGTGTACCGCAGTAGGTAAGGGTCATCAGTAAGACCAGTAATAAAAAATGCTTGGATTATGGAGCGTGCATTTGACAGAATTTTTTGGAAAATATTCGTCAAATCAGTGAGGACAAGTGTAGCAAATATTGGCACTTCAATTTGTCTCTTTTCACTGGCAAATGTAACAAAAGCAGGATAGTATACCAAGGTGACACATCCATGGCAAACGGTTTATTCGAGCTGAATGCTTGCGTCTACACTGTACCGGTTGCTGCGGTGTGATGGATAAGGCTTGAGCAAATTCACAAATCGTTTGGGTGTAATCATATGACAGGATGTTAAGGCTGCTTGAGTTTAGACTATATAACTTCTTTTAACAACCGCGACGCAGGATTCATGGTCACTGCTGTGTCACTGGCTTTCTCAGCCACAGCGGAATATTTTCAGAGGATCTTTGAGCCAGTCGCCGTTCCGTTCTGCCTAGTAGAGGCTTGGGAAGACGTGAGGCAAGTTTTCCCAAGCAAATTCTGTTTACGATATCGTAAACCAGTCACTCTAATTAAATAAAGTGAGCGTAGGTGAACGGACGAACAAGCATGTGCCAGTGAGGAACCAATTGAGACAAATTGTTAATTAAATGGGCACTCTTGCAAGACACATGAAGAAACACACTCTGAGAACTCTGGTTGTCTTTTGGATTCGACTTATAGTGCACGCTGAAGTGCTTCTTAGGATAGCCGCTTGTAATTGAGGAATTCTTATTAAAGTGGGATGTGTACCACAAACAGATGTCTGCACCACCGTGCAGTGTGTCCAAGAGCTCACATTCTTATGCAATTCGCGTGAGACCCGAAAATCACAAGAACCAATTGGTATAAGTTTTGCATCAATTCTTAGATGTTACATCATTAAAGGTCGCACGTTTTCTTATTTTCGAATTCGCCTGAAAGCCACCTATTCCAGTCAAACTACTGGTCACCGGCTGCGCAAAAATTCGAAGCTAACTGACTGGCAGAATGCATAGTAAGACACCAAAGGAAATTTTTCCGAGACGAAACCGCTGGCGGCTTCTCAGTAAATGGTTAGCAGCTATCACGGAAAGAATGTACACTTTCTGCGTGAACAGTGACATATGTCGGCAAGAAAAACTTGTGTTGACCGCAAGTTGGGTGAAAACTAGCCGGTGAAGAAAAGTCCCATAGTTTCATTGAAGACAATAAAATGATAAGGCAGTCACGTTGACTGTGGCATTATGTTACTGATTAACATCGACTTATCTATCAGAGTAATTCTCTGAAGATTTCGTCACCTCTTGCCGATCTTTCCAGTTTTTGATAACTGGTGTGCGAATGGCTTGACTGTACACTGAGCGCGTTCAACACGAAGCCACGCACATCACAGTGGCCTGCATCATATTAACTGTCATACGAAAATGTTAGAGTGATACATAGATGCAGACAAGTTAAAAGCTGATATCCCATGTCATACCAAATATCTAGACAAAGACCGCTTTATATAACCGGATGTGTCGCGAGCAGGTCATGGACCAAAAGAAGGCATCCTCTGAGCGAAAAAAACATGAACCAGCATAGGAGGTGCAGGATACGAAACTATACCAGTGTGATTCCGTGCAATATGGCCACTACTGCACCTCTTATTACGCAAATTCTGGCGTGGAATAACCCTAGCTCATGATGAACTACTTAAGCTGAGTAGTGTAAGATCACAGACGGAATGAAGTGCAACCGTAAAAACCATACGTCCAAGCGGAAAACCAATTAAATTGAGAAACAGTATACGCGCAGGATAACCTTCATCAAGCGCGACTCACACACATCATCGTGATATTTAGTCATCGGTTACCTAGTCCCATCTTATGATCGATTCCTATAAGTTGTGACAGCTCCACTCTGGTTGTCTTTTGGATTCGACTTATAGTGCACGCTGAAGTGCTTCTTAGGATAGCCGCTTGTAATTGAGGAATTCTTATTAAAGTGGGATGTGTACCACAAACAGATGTCTGCACCACCGTGCAGTGTGTCCAAGAGCTCACATTCTTATGCAATTCGCGTGAGACCCGAAAATCACAAGAACCAATTGGTATAAGTTTTGCATCAATTCTTAGATGTTACATCATTAAAGGTCGCACGTTTTCTTATTTTCGAATTCGCCTGAAAGCCACCTATTCCAGTCAAACTACTGGTCACCGGCTGCGCAAAAATTCGAAGCTAACTGACTGGCAGAATGCATAGTAAGACACCAAAGGAAATTTTTCCGAGACGAAACCGCTGGCGGCTTCTCAGTAAATGGTTAGCAGCTATCACGGAAAGAATGTACACTTTCTGCGTGAACAGTGACATATGTCGGCAAGAAAAACTTGTGTTGACCGCAAGTTGGGTGAAAACTAGCCGGTGAAGAAAAGTCCCATAGTTTCATTGAAGACAATAAAATGATAAGGCAGTCACGTTGACTGTGGCATTATGTTACTGATTAACATCGACTTATCTATCAGAGTAATTCTCTGAAGATTTCGTCACCTCTTGCCGATCTTTCCAGTTTTTGATAACTGGTGTGCGAATGGCTTGACTGTACACTGAGCGCGTTCAACACGAAGCCACGCACATCACAGTGGCCTGCATCATATTAACTGTCATACGAAAATGTTAGAGTGATACATAGATGCAGACAAGTTAAAAGCTGATATCCCATGTCATACCAAATATCTAGACAAAGACCGCTTTATATAACCGGATGTGTCGCGAGCAGGTCATGGACCAAAAGAAGGCATCCTCTGAGCGAAAAAAACATGAACCAGCATAGGAGGTGCAGGATACGAAACTATACCAGTGTGATTCCGTGCAATATGGCCACTACTGCACCTCTTATTACGCAAATTCTGGCGTGGAATAACCCTAGCTCATGATGAACTACTTAAGCTGAGTAGTGTAAGATCACAGACGGAATGAAGTGCAACCGTAAAAACCATACGTCCAAGCGGAAAACCAATTAAATTGAGAAACAGTATACGCGCAGGATAACCTTCATCAAGCGCGACTCACACACATCATCGTGATATTTAGTCATCGGTTACCTAGTCCCATCTTATGATCGATTCCTATAAGTTGTGACAGCTCCCGATTAGGTGTAGCGTTATCACAATGACCATGGCATTCATAACAGCGGTATGA